AACATGTTAGAGTTCGTCTAAACATGTTTTGAGTACACCAAAACACATTTAGAGTGCAACCAAAAACATTTAGAGTGCGTCCAAACATGTTTAGAGTGCGTCAAGACATACTTAGAGTGCATCCAAACATGTTTAGAGAGAATCGAAACATTTTTAGAGGGGACGTACTCATAGACTTCGTCACAATTTCGATGTCATGCATATTGAGAAGAATTTTTTCGATAATATCATCAACACACTCATGAATGTGAGAGATAACATTTTTTCCATTTTCCATTAATAATTTTATGGTTATTTAATTTATATATGTTTTGTTTAATGTAAATTTATTGTAGGTAAATCAAAGGATAACATCGCTTCAAGGATGGATGTTAAGGACATATGTTCTCGGAAAGATTTGGAGATCAGAGCAGATGGAAAAGCTCCTGTTCCCATCTTCAGACTCTCTAAAGATGAAAATCTTGCGATTTTAAAGTGGTTGAGAGATGAAGTTAAGTTTTCAGATGGATATGCTTCAAACATTGGAAGGTGTGTTGATATGGAAGGTGGAAAACTACATGGGATGAAAAGTCATGATTGTCATGTATTTATGCAACGCCTACTTCCCGTTGCCATCGGTGAACTGCTACCACAACCTGTAACCGAAGCTTTATGCGGTACGTGTGCATATTTCTAATTAAAATTAACCACATGTAATGAACAACACAATATCTTACGCTTATAAAATTAAATTTTTTTCCGAGACATTTGTTCTAAGACTCGAATCCGCTATTCGATTTGTGCTTCGAGAAAAACGGACTTTGATCACACTCTCAATCTCTTGGATCTCTCCAAAAATCTGCAAAGAGTGTTCTGAAGTCGGCTCTTTTTCTCTTTTTTCATTAGGGTTTTTAATCTCCCTTTTATAAAGTGATTTAACCCTAATTTCGGTTTAATTTCGAAAACATTGAAGCCCGGAACGGACGGTCCAGAAATGCACGTGGACCGTTACAGGTATCAGCACTTTCTTCCGAGACATTTGTTCTAAGAACTTAAATGTCAAAGATGTTGAAACTATGAAGACTAATATTCCGATCATTCTGTGTGCGCTTGAAAAGGTAAGAAACTAAATTTTTTGTAATTTATTTAAGTTTATGTTATATAAAATTTTAATTGTCATGTTTGATGTACATATATTCCCCCCATCGTTCTTCGATGTTATGGAGCATTTGACGATACATCTTCCAGATGAAGCAATCCTCGGAGGACCAGTTCAATTTAGATGGATGTATCCGTTTGAAAGGTTCTTCTACCATCTTAAGCGCAAGGTGAAAAACAAGAATAAACCAGAAGGTGCAATCGTCAAACAGTACGTTAATGAGGAGGTGACGTTTTTTACAAACTACTACTTCGAGCCTCATGTCCAAACGAAACACAGAAGTGTATCTACACATGCAGACGAAGAGCGACTGTTTGAATACAATGAAATTGTGCCAGATATGTTCTACCAGACTGGACGACTTAATGGAAAATCCAATCGACGTTGGTTAACCGAAGAGGAGTATCGACACACACACTTACATCTTATTGAATTGTGAAGACATTCGACCCATTAAGCGTTTGTTTGACGAGGACATGATACGTCAACATCCAGATTTTGATGGTGATGGTCTGATCAAGATGAAAAAAACATTCTTCTCGACTTGGTTATATCAGTATGTAAGTATTAGTTAACTTCTTTGATTTCTGTCTAAGTTTATTATTATAATATTAAATGTAACCATAATTGTCTCATTGATTTCAGGTTCAACAATCTCCGCATCATCCAGTCTGGTTGAAAGATTTGATCCACGGTCCATCGAGAAAGGTGACATGTTATCCGATCATGTTCACAAGAGGATATACGTTTCACACATTCGATCATGGTTCAGAACGACGAGTATCTAACTACGGAATTTGTGTCCGAGGTTCCGTAAGCTGTGACGTACCGAATGAACCTGATTTCTACGACATTCTTAAGGAAATCATGGTTCTCGAATACAACGGTTACGTTGGACTACGAATGGTTTTATTCAACTGCGACTGGTTTGATCATACACAGGGCAGAGGCATCAGAAAAAACGCTGTCGGAACTGTTGATGTTAACATGACAAGGAAGTATAAAAAATACGATCCATTCATCCTTTCATCCCAAGCTGATCAGGTGTGTTTTATCTCGTACCCAAGTGTGAAACGGCGGCGTGAACAATGGAGTGCGGTCATCAGAATACAACCACGACGAATATCCCATGAAGAAAATCCAACCGATTCAACAATGCTACCTCTGCAAGAAATCATTCATGACGTCGAAGAACTAAACGCGTTGACATTGCCGTCAGTTGATAATCTTATTGGTCATATTGAAGATGATATTCTACATGTTGATGAAAATATTGTTGAAGAAGGAGATAATGAACCCGATGAAAGTGATGTAAACGATGAGGATGAAGAAGATTCTGTTTAAAAAAATAAATAAATATAGATTTAGCAACGCAATTTCTTTGCTAAATGACTAGCAACGAAATTTCGTTGCTAACTGACGTAGCAACGCAATTTCGTTGCGACCTACATGCAAAATCGGTCTGCATTCAGGCGACAAGTAGCAACGATTCGTGTCCCGTAGCAACGAAATTGCGTTGCTACCTGACTTAGCAACGAAATTTCGTTGCTACGGTACGATTTGACCGTCGTAGTAATCTGACACCTTGCAACGATTTGGATCGCTTTAGCAACGAAATTGCGTTGCTAACGCAATTAGCAACGAAATTTCGTTTCAACGTAGCAACAAAATTTCGTTGCTACAGGATGTAGCAACGCAAATTCGTTGCTAACGTGCGTGAAATCCGATAGTCTCAGGCGAATTCACTGCACGCATTTACTACTCCGACGTTGCAACGAAATTTCGTTTCTAGTTCGTGTAGCAACGAAATTTCGTTGCTACTTTGAAATGAAATTTCGTTGCAAAGTTCCGCTATATATAGGAACGAATTTCGTTTCTACTCTCCACACTTCCAACATACAACTCACTTTCTCTCTCTAAACTCTTCTCCCAACACCCTAAACCCTTCTCTCTACCTATATTACCAAAAAGTTCGGTAAAATTTATATATTTTCGATAACGCAATTATATTTTCGTGTATAATTTATATAAATTTTAATAATTGTTTTATTTTGCAGGAAAATGGATAGGAGATTTGCTGCACGTAGCTACGGACGCGGTAGCGGATCGACTCCGCCACAACAAACTCCCGAACCTTCACAGCGGGTGCAGTACTCCGACATCACGTCCAATCCATAGAGGACGTGATTGCGTAAACTCCATCCTAACAAAGAGGATGGAGCATTGTGGTAAACTTTAATTATTTGTTTTATAAAATTAATATATAAATTTGTTTAAAAATATTACTTATATTGGTAATTTTTAGGTTTAATGTCGATCAGGCGGTTAATAATTCTGTCTCATCGTTCATCGAAAGTAATTTTACTGAACCTTGGATGAATTGGTCGTCATTACCCGAGACCACTCGACAACATTGGTTTGCTAGTTTTACTGTAAGTTATTTTTAAAAAAATTAGTAAATTAATAAAAAAAATGTGTTTAATAATTTTAATTAAGTTTTTTTAGCAATCTTGATATTGGGATGAGGTGCATACCTGAGGGTCTATGATGCATGGAAAAGATGTGTCATGGACCTACTCAAATCCAAGGTCAACAGGTATAAACGATATTGGCAGATGAAGCCAGATCGTTCTCCTCCGAAGAACATTGAAACCGGGGTGTGGGCGCAGATGGTGGAGTATTGGGAGAACCCCATCAACATTGAAAGAAGTAAAAAGGCGGCCCAAAGTAGAAAGACGGACGTGACTCCCGAAACCGGTCCAAGCAAGCATACATCGGGCCGAAAGCCATTTAGTCGGATCATGCATGCATTGGTAATTAATTGATATATATTTTCAAACACCATATATATAATATATAGAAAATTATTCATGTTATAAAAATTTTGTTTGTAGGCCCGAACATGTGGAAAGCAACCATCGCTCCTTGATGTGTTAAAGGTTATACATACAAGGAAAGATGGTACTATAATCGACGGGAAAGCCAAAAATTTGATTGACAAGATCGAACAAGCGGTACGTTTTTAAATATATAAATAGTTTTATAAATATAGATTAGTTATTAAATTTTTAACTCTTATATATATATCACAGCAAACAACGCTTGAAGAATCTCAAGCGACTGCGTTGGGAATGAATACTACAACGCAATTATCCCAGCAGCAAATCGATGAACTATATGTCAAGGTAATTAGTTGGTTTATTTTTTATTTCTTATAATGTTTTATTTTTTAGTTATAATTAAATAACATTCTAATTGAGATATTTGAATTCAGACCGTAAAACCGAACAAATACGGTCGTATATATGGACTTGGGTCGCTCAAACAAGATATCGTCAACACCGATGCCGGGGAAGGAGGAGCACCAGTTGTTCAGAAGATTGTCACACTACAGCGACGACTCCAAGAATTAGAAGAACAGGTGCAGAACAATTTTGTATCGCGAGCTGAGTACGACGAATTAAAGCAGCGACACAACTACCTCCAACTGCTAGTTGACCAAAACATAGGAAATGTCAACATCGACGGTGCAGGAGGTAGCGGTGCAAATGATGATGCTCCCGACGATGGTGGTGAAGATGCGCCCGATGTTAATTTGAATGATTTTGATTTTCAATAAATTGTATTTTTATTTTATTTTTTTTGTTTTTTATTTTTTTTAAAAGTTAGCAACGCAATATTTCGTTGCTAACAGTGTTGCTAATACACTTTTGCAACGCAAAAAATAGTTGCTACAAACGTTGCAAGAAACTTTGCAACGCAATTTCGTTGCAAACTTAGGATTTTTATAATACGCAGAACAACCGTTGCAACGCAGTTTTCGTTGTTAAGCGTTGCTAGTAGCAACGAAAATTTTCGTTCCAAATACGTTGCTACTACCAACGAAATTTCGTTGCTAATTTTACAACGCCATAGCAACGCAAGAAATCTCGTTGTAAGTAGCAACGAAAATAGATGCATTGTGATTTCGTTGCAACGTTAGCAACGAAATATTTTGCGTTGCTAAGTTGTTGCTAGCTGCAACGATTAGCAACGATTTCTGGTTTGCAACGACGCGTTACCAACGCAAGAAATTTCGTTTCTATTTCGTTGCAAAAGCCATTTTGCAACGAAATTACGCTGTTTGCAACGAAAATTTTTCGTTGCAAAAAAACAGTTTTTTTGTAGTGAATGCTAGGAATGACGACCAGGTCTCCCACGAATTTCCTGATCCAAACAGCTTCCTTAGCTGCATCCGATGCTGTTATGTACTCGGCTTCTGTAGTCGAATATGCCACAGTTGGCTGTTTGGAACTCTTCCAACTGATAGTCCCACCGTTCAGGCAGAAAACATAACCTGACAGCGATCTGAAGTCATCTATGTCGGTCTGGAAACTAGCATCGGTATAACCCCTTATAGCGAGCTCGTCTTCCAATCTGCCATACATCAAGAACAAATCCTTAGTCCTTCTCAAGTACTTAAGGATGTTTTTGACCGCAATCTAGTGAGTCTCACCTGGTGTAGACTAATATCTACTAGTCATGCTCAATGCATACGATACATCCGGACGAGTACATAACATGGCGTACATGATGGATCCAATTGCCGAGGCATATGGAATCCTACTCATGCGCTCTTGCTCATCCTGTGTCTTTGGACACTGAGTCTTGCTAAGAGCCACATCATGTCCCTTTGGCAAAGCACCCCTCTTGCATCTTGAACTGATTCAAGACCTTGTCAATATATGTACTCTGACTTAGGCCAAGAAGCCTTCCCGATCTATCTCTATAGATCTTGATGCCTAGAATATAGACGGCTTCTCCTAAGTATTTCATCGAAAAGACTGATCCTAGCCAGGATTTTACTCCTTGCAAAGTAGGAACATCTTCGTTTTGCAATATATCATCTACATAAAGCACAAGGAAAACCACTGCGCTCCCACTGACCTTCTTGTAAACGCATGGCTCATCTTCGTTTTGTAGGAAGCCAAACGTTTTGACTGCCTCGTCAAATCGAAGATTCCAGCTCTTCGAAGCCTGCTTCAGTCCATAAATGGATCTCAGAAGCTTGCATACCTTTCTCAGACTCTTAGGATCGACAAAACCCTCGGGTTGTGTAATGTACACATCCTCGAGCAGATTCCCATTAAGGAATGTGGTCTTGATGTCCATCTGCCATATCTCGTAGTCATAATACGCAGCTATGGCCAGCAGAATCCGTATGGATTTAAGCATCACGACTGGTGAAAAAGTTTCATCATAGTCTATACCATGAATCTACC